CTGATTGGTTGTCTGAGTCAAATGAGCCCACCCCCATGTCTCTATGACACTCCTATGTAATGTTATTGATGTGTGACATTTATAATGGAAGTCAATAGGATGTGCAATGGGACGTCCCACCCCATGTTAAGTCAATGGGGCAGTTATTAAGGGTCTTTAAATGGTTTGGGGGGGCGTGGCTTGTGAGCTTTAAAATCATATTGAGATGCTGATTGGTTGCCTCAGTCAAATAAGCCAACCCTTAAGTCTATGACACTGCTATGTAATGTGATTGACATGTGAGTCAAGAAATGAATGGGAGTCAATGGGCAATGTAAAGTCAATGGGGACCCCTTTGGGACGTCCTAGCATCCCAGGGGTACAACTTATACCCCCTTTCTGTATGTTCTCATACAGGCTGCAACCCCCTACAGATGTTGCGAATCCCATATTTCTACGAATTTCACACTTGGCGCTATAACGCTTCAAAGGTCGTCCCATTTCGCGGCGCGTTTAGTGCTCTTCTAGAAAAATGAATGGGAGTCAATGGGGCCAATGTAAGTCAATGGGAGCACTTTGGGACGTCCTAGAGCCCCAGGGGTGCAACTTTTACCCCATTGCGAGGTATGTTCTCACTTAGGCTGCAACCCCCTACAGATGCTGTGAATCCCATATTTCTATGAAATTCACACTTGGCGCTGTGATTCGTCAAAGTTCGGCTCAATGTTAAGTCTATGGGATTTTTGGGGGGGTTTTTTGGCCCCTGCGGGGCCAAAAAACCCCCTACCCCTTATAAAAGTCATAGCACACCATTCCCGATAAGACCGCACGATTTGACCCCACTTTCAAGGGTCTGGGACGAAAGCTGCGGGACTAGTTACGCGCCGAAAAATAGGACGGAAGAAGGAAGAAGAATAATAAACCAGGCACAATAGTAAGAATGGACTTTGCCTATGGCAAACCCCATTAATAAGCACTCGCTACAACCGAGCTCTGCAGAAGAGCATCTCTGAACACACAACACGGCCAACCTTGAGGCGGATGGGCTACAGCAGCAGAAGAGCACACCGGGTGCCGCTCCTGTCAGCTAAGAACAGGAAACTGAGGCTACAATTCACACAGACTCACCAAAACTGGACAATAGAAGATTGGAGAAACGTTGCTGCTCTGATGAGTCTCCATTTCTGCTGACACATTCGGATGCTCGGCTCACAATTTGGCCTCAACAACATGAAAGCATGGATCATCCTGCCTTGTATCAGCGGTTCAGGCTGGTGGTGGTGGTGTAATGGTGTGGGGGAGATTTTCTTTGGGTCCATTAGTACCAATTGAGCATCAACGCCACAGCCTACCTGAGTATTGCTGCTGACCATGTCCATCCCTTTATGAGCACAGTGTCTCCATCTTCTGATGGCTACTTCCAGCAGGATAACGCAGCATGTCATAAAGCTCAATCATCTCAGACTGCTGAACATGACGATGAGTTCACTGTACTCAAATGGCCTCCACAGTCACCAGAGCTCAATCCAATAGAGCAGCTTTGGGATGTGGTGGAACGGGAGATTGGCATCATGGATGTGCAGCCGACAAATCTGCAGCAACTGTGTGATGCTATCATGGAGCAAAATCTCTGAGGAATATTTCCAGCAGCTTGCTGAATCTCTGACACCAAGGATTAAGACAGATCTGATGGCTAGGTGTACCTAATAAAGTGGCCGGTCAGTGTATATAAATCAACAGCATTTTCTAGACAAGTAAAAACAATCTGAAAACAAGACAATATATGTCTTCAAAATGAAGTGAGTTTCTCCTCAAGACGAGCTCAATAATCAGCCATATCTGAACCTCAATACAATAACTACAATGATCAGTAACACACACACACACACACACACACACACACACACACACACACACACACACACACACACACACACTCAGTCTGACCATGGTGAAGCTGAAGGTCAGGTTGGTCGTCTCGTCTGATAGTCTGAGGCTGGATTCTGTGACCCCGCATGACCCCGAGACTGTGGTCTGATTGGGCTGCAGGTTCATGAGCTCAGACACGCTCTGTGGAGGAGCAGAGACGTCAACACACCTCACACACATGCAGAGAGAGAGAGAGAGAGAGTGTGTGTGTGTGTGAGCATCACCTGGTTTTGTGTTGTGGTGTGTGTGATGTTGAGCTGCAGACCCATGAGCGCCAGCACACACACGGTGCCGTTTCCGTCTGTAACGCTGTAGTTTCCACGCTCTGGCACTGGGGGGATGGGGGGCGGAGATGTGGTGGTGCTGGGGGGCGGAGCTACAGTTGTAGACGGCTGATCTGCACTGCACACACTCTCTATCACACACACACACACACTTGAGTTTAATACAGCACACACCGATTTAAAGCAGATTCAGTTTAGTGTGTGTGTGTGTGTGTGTGTGTGTGTGTGTGTTACCGTCTGCGCTGAGGTTTGCGCTGCTCATGTAGGCCTCCATTTGCACTCCAGAGAGTGTGAGATTGACCGCTGCG